TCAGAGAGTTAAACAGATTTTTGGCTTGTATATATATATTTGTGTGTGTGTGTGTGTGTGTGTGTGTGTGTGTGTGTGTGTGTGTGTGTGTGTGAATAAAAAAATAGACCCCGATAGTACTTCCACTTATCAATACAATATTTGGTGGACAATTCTAACCTAACATAAAAATAGTTTCAGAGACCCATGCCAGAACAGAATGGCCATTTTGGTTGAAAATCATCCATTTTGGGGACATTTTGGCGACAACAAATGGGCCTGGAAAGAAAAAGATGAGCCCCTGACACCAGTTTCACTGACAGACACGGATATGAGATGGTATGTCTGTCAAAACAGGTCGCAGCAAAACGTCTCAAAAACCCATTCCCCAAATTGAACAGGTAGTCTGTTGTTTTGATTGGAAACAGCCATTTTGGTGGACAAAGGGGCCTGGAAAGTTAAAAAGACGAGCCTCTGAAACTAGTTTCAGCGATGGCCGTCAAGATGGGTGGACGTCTCTATCATAACAGGACGCAACAAAAAGTCTCAAAAACCCATGCTCATAATTGAACAGGGAGCCAACTGTTTTGATTTGAAACAGCCATTTTGCGGAAAAAAAACAAAATTAGGGGACCACGAGCTCGAGAAAAAAATTAGCCCTTGACACCTGTTTCCTCAATGGACATGACATTTGGTGGACATGTCTACCACAACAAGACCCACCAAAAACTCTCAAGGACCTCCGCCCGAGACAGGGAGTCCACCATTTTGGGTTGAAGTAGCCATTTTGGTGACTCAATCTGAAATGTAATTTGTTGAACCTTTCATAATGGGTCCATTTGACCCGCAACATAACAGGAGGGTTAAGAGAGGTCAAGCACCTTGGAAATACAATACCCACAATGCACCTCCACTCTCTCGCCTTCAATCCTTTCCTGGATAGTCATGCACAAATGTCCTGTCCTCCCGCTGCCCAAAATAAATAAATAAATAAATAAATAAATAAGAAGAAAGCGAGGACCACACTGCAGCTCCTCACATGGTCCGCTGGGGTTCCGGACCGTCCTTAGAGTACACAGACCGGGACCAGTGGCCCGCGTTCTCCCTTTGTCAACCAATGGCATCACGGGAAAGCGCCCGCGACATTTGGCCGTGCCAGCCCGCCGCGTGGCGCTGTTGGCGCATCAGCCAGTTAGCTTCCACACTGTCCTCCATGAAGCTTTGTGAGTGGCTGAAGAAAGACAGGTGGAGGTGGGGTAAGGGAGGTGTTGGTGGGAGGGAGGGGGGGGTCATGCAGTCATTATATCAAGCATCCTACAACCCCCAAATCTCAAAACTACTCTATTGGGTTGGAGCTCCATTCTAAGGCTTGGTTACCTGAGTCATAAAGGTTATTTACACTTAAATGTGCCGTGTTGTGGTATACTTTGGAGCCAAGAAACATCGGCCCATTTGAGCAGCTGTGATTTTTAACCAACGTAGGAGAAGGGGCTCAAAATTTGTTGGGGGGAGGGTTGGGGAGCTGTACTTTTCAAAACAAAGACCAAAGACTAGTCACACTTGCTTATTTTTAGCTTATTGGTTGTGTTTTAGTTTTAATTTTAGTTCATGTTTGATAAAAACAGGATTTTTTTTTCTCTCCCGGGGCTAAGGGGGGAGGGGGGGGGGCTTGACCGATATGCGGGGGAGCAGGGAAAAAAATCGATTTTCATGACTAAATTTACTTGAGAGGTTTTCTCATTTTAAAAAAAAGTACACTACACACCACGAGCATGAAGCTGCCAATGTGCAGTAAGAATTTTTGACGAACTCTTGGCTAACGCGCCAGTAACTGAAAGACTCACTCTGCCCCTCCCTGCCCTCACTAACACACACAAGGTACATCTGCACCGGAACAAGAATTGTACTCGAATAGAATGGCCACTTGTGAACATTTCAATGTTTTTAAACTTAGAAAGTAAATAAATATTAAAAATAAATTGTTGGGGTGGGTGAACAGGGGCGACACCCATTTTAGATGGGGATGTAGCACCCCCTAGCGCCGATGTAGTGTTATGCATGCGTCCACCCCCATTAACTGGAGCGCCCCCTAGAGTGTGAAGCTATAAACAACAAGTCAACCACAAGACCAACAAGTAACATGACTGAAACAAGACAGAAAAAAAGCAGTTTTCATCCCTTTTTTTTGGGGGGGGGGGCATTCAAGCCAATTCAAGTTGCAGCTGAGGGAGTCCACCATTTTGGGTTGAAGTAGCCATTTTGGTGACTCAATCTGAAATGTAATTTGTTGAACCTTTCATAATGGGTCCATTTGACCCGCAACATAACAGGAGGGTTAAGAGAGGTCAAGCACCTTGGAAATACAATACCCACAATGCACCTCCACTCTCTCGCCTTCAATCCTTTCCTGGATAGTCATGCACAAATGTCCTGTCCTCCCGCTGCCCAAAATAAATAAATAAATAAATAAATAAATAAGAAGAAAGCGAGGACCACACTGCAGCTCCTCACATGGTCCGCTGGGGTTCCGGACCGTCCTTAGAGTACACAGACCGGGACCAGTGGCCCGCGTTCTCCCTTTGTCAACCAATGGCATCACGGGAAAGCGCCCGCGACATTTGGCCGTGCCAGCCCGCCGCGTGGCGCTGTTGGCGCATCAGCCAGTTAGCTTCCACACTGTCCTCCATGAAGCTTTGTGAGTGGCTGAAGAAAGACAGGTGGAGGTGGGGTAAGGGAGGTGTTGGTGGGAGGGAGGGGGGGGTCATGCAGTCATTATATCAAGCATCCTACAACCCCCAAATCTCAAAACTACTCTATTGGGTTGGAGCTCCATTCT